CCTCCACAGTCTTCAGAGCGCATGTACAGGCCAACCACTGCTGCTGCATAGCTAGAAATAAATTACCCTTCATTCTGACCTAAATCAAACATGTTGCATTGACAAAACATGGATTTACATGGACTGTCAGTAACATACAAAAAATATGAGGATTAAAAAAAACGTTCAGTGTTCTGGCAAAGATTTTGGCATCTTGGCCAAAAGTCTGTAGAAAACTTACAGGCTTCAAAATGTTTTCTGGGATGTTATGAGTTGAATACTCTGGTGGAAAATAAAGTGAAATGGTCAAAGGCTGACTGGCACTGCACCCTGCGTGCCAGCCAACTGATATCTTGGAAAGATCAATATAGCAGAGAGGTCAGCAGGCAAAGATGAAGAAGACAAATGTTCATGTCAGAGTATTTTTTCCAAACACTGATCATTCAGCATTGCAGGAAAAAATATGAGGCAAGGCCAACAACTTTTTCACTTTTCCAGAAATTTCATCCATGCTGTCAAACCACTGGGAAAACACAATGGCTCACAAAACTGAATGCAGAGTATTTGAAGGTTGTACTGCATTATGCACTATCACATGCTGTGGTAGCAAAGTGCATTCAAATCATAAAGTATTGATTACAGCTTGCAGTGGCTGAATGTGAAGGGTGACATAATAACAGGTTTGAAGAAGTATAAATGATGTTCAGTGGAGCTGTGGCCCTAATTGATGTCCCTTGTCACCAAAATGTCAATAAGTTTATTGCCAAGAGAAAAAATAAATTGGTGGTTTACTTACGATGCTCGGCTTCTCCTGCCAGTGGGGGAAAATCAATTCTCATCCATAGCTGGGTTTACTGACGCATTACAGACAAATCCTCATCAAATCAAAACACACATGGTCACTGAATATTGGCATTTCAGGCAGTGAGGAAAAAGATGCTGCTGCGTGTCCCGTCAGCTGTCTTAAAGTATGACTGACTCATTTCATATGAGCTCAACTTTTGAGAGCCGTGACTTTGCTGTGAAATAATTCAGATTGGAAAAGCAAAAGCAAAACAGCCTCCGGCACATTGACCGCGGCTCTGGACAAATATTAAAGGTCCAGTGTGAAAGATTTAGGAGGACCTATTGGCAGGAATGGAATATAATATTCATAAGTATGTTTTCATTAGTGTATAATCACGTTATTTTAGAATGAGTCATCTTCATCTACAAAAGGGAGAGGGTCCTCTTCTGTCCACCATGTTTCTATGTTTCAGTAGCCTAAAACAGACAAACCAAACACTGGCTCTAGATAGGGCATCTTGCGTTTTTTTTGAGTTTCATGGCCACCATAGTTTCTCTTACATCAGGGGTCTCATCCTTAAATTTGCTTGGCGCCACTGGTAGTATTGTCATCTCCTAGGGGGGCCACTTCAGTGTTGAAGTAAGTGCAATATTCTAACTAAGATAATACAAACAGCAGCTTCTATACATTTTATATTATCATTTTATATAATCTTTATTGTTTGCAGCCAAATAACAGATAAAAGTCAAAACCATTTCTTTTAAATGTATATGAAGGGGTATTTTAAATTGATATGAAACAACTAGAATTAAATAAAATAATAATAATTATTAATTATTTTATTAGGATTATCCTGGATTTTTGATGTCGACGAGAGTTTGAGATCCTTGTCCTACACACTTGGAGGCGAGGGGTATTCAGTTGAATGAAATCTGTAATCTCACCTCTAGATGTCACGAAATGCTACACACTGGACCTGGATTTTAATGTTTGGTACCACACAAGGTCCAACATTCATCCCAGAACATTAAAGGTTTACACACTGAAATGGAAATCCTGTTCTTGGGCATGGCTCCTATTGGTTAGGAAAAAACTAACTTCACTCAATAATTATTGAGATGTGTGGGAGACAGAGCTCTACACTGGAGTCCATTAGTGCAACTCAAGAGACAAACAGGCTGTGCAGAAACTCAGCCTAAACCAATTATCTAAACCAAATTATCTAGATGTGAAAACAAAGATGAATGTACATGAAATGTTTGTTATAATTGTCCATTCTACAGTGTACTTACTATATTTATATAATTCCTTTCTGTGGCTCTATAAAGAGCCGGATATACTCCAAAACTGATGAAGACGTGGTCAGCTGATGTTTATGCATTCTCCATTTAGCTGCACAGTGTGTCTGCTTAAGGAGCATGTTTACACATAGTTGTTGGCACACACTGGTAATTAATTCCAAACTGCATGTGAGACAGTGCATGTGGATCCTTGTGACTGAACTGACTTTTTTGCACCTCATTCAAACATTAACCTTCACAGGCACTAACCCTAACCTAAACCTAATTCTAAATTTACCCCAAAAAACAAGTCCTATAGGACTTATAAGCACTGAGGACAGGATTAATTACCCTCCATCCTCAGGGGTTAAAGCGCCGACCATAAACTACAATGTCTCTGGTTGTCATCTGACTGGGGTCATTAGTTGTGTTATTTTCAGTCTTCAACTCCCGCTATTTCAACATCTTCCCTGTCAAGGTCTAAAACTTCACTTACAGATAGAACATTAGTTCAGCTAATAAATGCTTCTAACAGTTCCAGCAATACTTTTATTGTTTCCGATGTGTCTTTGTACAGTATGTCATTCGTAAAAGTGAACTGTGAATTCACTGTACACACAAAAGTTTTCCAAGATGCATTTTCTTACAGAGCTGAGCAGCTCAGAGGGGAAACTTGAAACTGCAGTGGGCAATTTAAAAATACACAATGAAAATGCCTCTCTGTTGTTTTTATTTAATGCTTTTTTTCTTTCTCTTGTCTTCCAAGGTCTTCCTTCCTTTCGTACTATATGCTGTTGCAAAGGAGGAATTGGAAATTTACCACAAGTTGCCATAGCACTTCTGCGTGTAGGCGACCAAGCTTAGCAGAGAGGAAGGGAGGAACAAAGACACGTAGAACTCAGATGACCCTTGTTTGAACACATAATATAACAGTGCTAGCCAAACCCTGATTGGTTGTTTGATTCAAACTGGGTGAAGTTTAAAAAAAAACTAAATACAAAAGCGCGAGTGCTCACAGAAAAACACTTAAATTAAATATTGTTAGCAACACTGGTTAAAATTAGTTTATTCAAACTAAATTATAATTAAATAATATTGACTACTGCAGCTTTTAAGTAGACAAACATTTCTCCTGAGAAAACTTTTCAGTCATCAATATTAAAAGTTTCAACACTTGTTGGTTTCTGCAATAAGATTTATTTTAATGAATAATACTTTCCACCTTCTGCCAACCTGCATTACTTTGTCACAAGATTAAAAGACTCTTCAGAGCCCCTGGTGTTTAATTTAGAAAAAGTTAATTTACCAGCCAGGCTACTTTTTCTGCAACAGGAACAATGTGTTGACTTCCAAATCTGTCCAGCTGATACGTGTTCATGCTGCTTATGTGTCTCATGCACACAGCAACAGCCTCTTGTAAGAGCTGACAGGAGGCAAGTCAAATTACTCATATGCAAATCAACCTGTGACATAATCTCATGATTTAACACATGTTTTCAGCTGCCAAAAGATCTCTCTTTTGTAAGAGAGGTGGTAGAACGGATGAGCCCATTCAAGTGTCATCAGTCTTGCCATGGATGGATTACTGAATGGGCCTAACAGAAACAGGCCCAGCAGCCCAAGTGACCCCTCGGGGCCCTGGGCAGAGCCTCTGACCGAAGTGACTGTTTTTCTTGTCAGATAGTCCATGAAATGACTACAAGGGGACACAAAATGACTTTGAAGAGATGCAAAATTACTACAAAGAGATGTAAAATGACTATATAGAAACACAAAATGACTGCAAGGACACAGAAAATGCCATCAGAGAGTCGTAAAAACAACTGCAAAGGAACACAAAACTGCTACAAAGGGATACAAAATAACTAAAGAAAAACAATATGACTAAGGTAAGATGCAAAAAGAGAATGCAAATTGATACAAAGACACGCAAAAACTACTCCAGAGAGACACAAAATGACAGTACAGACACAAAGGTTGGTGGTTATAAAGAGCCACCAGCTCCAAAGAAACACAAACTGATCATACTGAAGGATAGCAAACTTCCAGAAAAAAGGTAGCATACTGATTGATTTTCTTACTTTAATTGTGCAAACAAACTAACTTTTTGACACCACTGTGTCTTCATCAGAGTCTAAACATTATAGTCTGCGAATCAATCAGCGTGCTCCAGTCTCTCTTTTTCCCCACTTGAGTGTCTCGTGTCTTGTACAGAGGCCCATTGTCTCATAATCTGTCAATGAGACCAGCCAAAATCATTTCTCTAAATTGTAAGCATCTTAAATCCAATGGTTGGAGAACTGTTGCATCCATCATTTGGCTCAGTGGTGCAGACCACTTCACACACCGCCCAACAGCCCATCAACCAGATTGCCTGCAGTGAAGAACGCTGTCTTGTATGTAGCCTAAAAAAATCCTTTACAAGGTGATTAGGTCTGCTTAACTTGCAGTGCCTTTCGCTCGCCAGTACTCACATTGATTGTTTTCTCCTGGCTTGGTAAATAGATGGAAGTCAGTACACCCCAACAGTGACGTCAGGGTTCACCTAGCTGCAGGTCTCCTGGGCTTATCAATTAGAGCGTAAGAATGCAGCCAAGGATTTCATTTGTAGCCTAAGCTGTTATTAGTAACGACAGGTGGGTATTGAGTGTGGCGCAACACTGTGCTGGAGAAAATTGTGATAAATGATGAGGGGGAGGCTCTCTCTCTCTCTAAAGAGCTGTGCAGATAGATGACTGCTGGTCATTAGACAGGAGGAAGGTGTGTGTGTGTGTGTCTGTGTGTGTGTGAGGAAGAGGAGGTGAGGATGCAGTGCAGAAATGGGTTCCTAATGCAAGAAAGTAGAAGTGGATCCACTTTCTTTCATCTACTTTGCAGTGCATTTAACCACACACACACACTCACATGAAACCATTCCTCCTTCCCTTCCCCGCATTACAGCCACATCTGTTTACCTTATGGTCGATGATGCCACTGTATCCCTGGAGGACCGGGGGATGAGGCTTGGCCACCCTGACGGAGGCTTCAGTGGGCCGCCGCAGCTGTTCATGCTTTCGGATGTGAGTGTCGTTAGAGTCCCTGGAAGCGCCGTTGAAGCTGCCGTTGTACACCAGGAACAAGCTGGCGCACAGGAGAAGCACGAGAAGCACCGCTATCCCATGGCGCTGCCGCAAAGACACAAGCAGATGCTGACAAATTAGCCCCTGTTGCACTGGACTGAGTTTAGGCTGCAGCTATATGACAGGTGAGAGGCTGCCTCCTCTCTGCACGGACATCTTCATCATCATCCTCAACTGGTTTGTCAATAAAAAACCTTAACTTCCTGTCATTCATGTCACGTGCGACTAAAACTTATATATATATCCCCCCCAGCTCTTATCGATTTGATTTAAGGGCACAGGCCTGATCGTGACATTGACAAGATGTCAGGCTGTTAATGATCTTTACTTAGTTTGCATGCATGCATTTTAATGCTCAGGTGCGTTCAGGAGCAGCGGTGTCTCATCTCAGTGAAAGCTATAAAGTAAAAGTTCATATCGATATCCCGACCTTGTGGGTCAAAAAAGGTGCTTCGGTCTCAGCTGCCACGGTTATAAATCTATATTAAATTACAGATGCAGGAGATAAGCCGCTCATGACACTTTTGATTTGTTTCGTGGCACACAGCCGAGCGAGGAGTGATGGATGTGTGTGTATTGTTTTATTATTTCACAGCTGTCTAAAATGAGGCAACGTGCTATTCTAACTATATTAAAGAAATACAATTTCATGCACTTTTATTTTTATTTTTTTTATATATGCATCTGCATTAAACACCCCGCATGTTCCACGCTGTAGTATTCATTCTAAGAAAGAAAAAAACGGAGCTTAGTGCCAAACAGAGCGCACAGCTGGATGCCTATTGTTCACATCCTAATCTTTTGATCCGACAGAGTACACACAGCGGCGTTATGGCGATCTGAGCGCACTTCACAGAACAATGCTGGATTTCAAAGCGAGCACAAACAGTTTGCCTATAGGGCTACATGGCAGAGACCTTTACCATAGGTGTCTTCATTTTGCGGCGGGCTGTCTTATCGCTGCGGCTCAGTGCGTCTGACTCCACTTTCTCTCATGGTCCAGCGGCATCTGTTCGCATCACGGATCCACTCCAGTCCGTCTGCACTGTGCCAGCCCGCCTGCCGCTGCCTGTGTGTCTTCAGACCGGAGCCCAGGCGCAATTCATACTGTGGAGACCGAGGCGACAGATGTTCACTATTGTACCTCTGCTGGGTCTTAAAACCCCCCGATTTTGAGAGGCTGACGAGTGGAGGCGCAGCGCAGTTAATTAAAGAGACTACCTGCAAGAGGGTGATAAGGCCGTTTTGTTTAATGGTTATTTCCTGCTGAGCAATATTTGATGGAAATCTCTGCTCGGAATACTCTGGAGTACAGTGAATACACGACATGTCATCTTCTGACGCCTGCTGCATGAAATATGAGCTGGATTATGAATGCAAGAGAAGTTATACAGCAGTAATAATATCCTGGAAAGCACACTGACACCGAGTCTGTTAATCAGTGGTGGAATGAAACTGTATTGTTGTTCAAGTTGTGTACTATATTTAAGGCACTTGAATTTTAGTATTTTGTGTCACTGCAAACTTCCACCGCAGGGAAACATTGTTCTTTTTTACTTCACTACACTTTATCTGACAGGTACTGTAGAAATTAGTTTAGTTAGTAAGTTTACACACAAAACATAAAATAGGCTTATAAAATATGCCAACATTTATAAATGTATTGTATTTAAAATGCTGCTTACACATTACTGCACCAGTAATCTAACTATATTTATTCACAGGGGGCAGTTTTATCCACTATGATACTTTTACTTATGATACTTTAAGTACGTTTTGCTAAAAATACTCATTTTAAATGCAATACTTTTACTACTTTAAATGCATCAAAACACTGATTTAACAGCTTTTGACCCACCTCCTCTTGATTGTGATCAGTTTTCCAATTTGTCTTTGACTGCACACTTAATTCTCTTATTTAAGTGAGTTCTATATAAATATGGTTTGCTTGCCTGCAATACTGAAACAAATTAAAAACCATTTAGCTATATTGTCACGAAATACCTTTTCATTTGTATTATTTTACAATTCTTAATTTTGATATGATATACATTCCTGATAGCAAGGAAAAAGTTTTTATTTCCATTTTACGTTGAGCCAACTTACCTGCATTATCCCTAAATGGGACTATACAGATAAACAAACAGTTTTAGTTCAGCTTTAAAACTATTTTCAGTGTTTGATCAACATTATTGCAGCATGGAGCTCTGGTGCTGAATCTGTGCTATGCCTCTTTCATTGTTGTGTCTATGTGTGTGCTGTAGCCCTCTGTGTATTAAAGTCCCCTTTATACTTATAGAACAATAGATTCACAGTACAGAAAATAGCCATTTGTTTTTTTTGCCACACTGAAACAACAAATAACTTCTTAAAAGCTTTTAAATTTGCAACTCTGAACTCTGTGTGGTGTCCTGAAAGTGATGCATTTTATGTTTCAAGCTGTAGCAGCAGCAGTTTAGCATAAATATTAATAAACCGCTAGCTATATGCCGGCTCCAGAGCACTTTTAAAGACAAAGTTCAAAGGACTTCACAGAGCAGCAGAAAGAGCAGACTACCAAACCAAAAACAGCAGGAACAGTCCCAAGGACCGTCAACATAACGTATATTATACAGTTGTTGGTATCATAAAATAACACTTTACTTTACAGGTCCACTACCTTCTCATCATTGCTAGAATGTTTACTGCAACTAATTATTATTTCCATTATGGATTAATCTCCTTGTTTTGTTGAACCAATAGACCAAAGCTCAAAATTATTAAAAAAGAAATTAAAATAATTAAAAGGAGCAAATCACATTCACTCTCATATTTGAGATGCAGGAACCATGAAAATGTTTCGCATTAAAAATTACAATTATAAAAATAGTTAAATAATAGGGGGAAAAAAGCACAATGTTTTCCTCTGAAATGGAGTGGTGTAAAAAGCAGAAAGTGGCATGAAAAGGACCTCAAATTTGTACTTGAGTAAAGTACTTGGCATGGGTCGGACTGGTTGGATTGACTTAAAATAAATAGTTGTAATGAAGGAACGTGTCACCCAGTGCCCCACTGTGACTGGTTTCTGGATGACAATCGAGGTCTATGGCTCACAGGAATAAACTGTATCAGTACAGAATAAAGAATATTTACAGACTTATCCTTTTAAGAGTTTCTATAATGACATCATTAGGTATCCTCCGGTCACTATGCCTGCAGCCTCCACATGTTAATCCACCCCACAATGGAAAGTTACACCACATATAACAATGCATTAAATCTGGAGTGGAGCTGCTGCATGTTTCACCCCCATTTGCCAGTGATTGTGCATAATCTGCTTATGAGAGAAAAAACAAGGTCCTCATGGGAGATGCAAGGGAGACTTCCCAGAAGCAATAATCCACATCAGTGTCACTGGGGGAATAATGTGCAATAACACAGCATAAGGTTGGAAGGCTCAACAACAACGACAACAACACATCAGACAAACAATTTCAAAGAAAGGCCATCTTTGAAGTGTGCACTTACTGAAGGGCAGTGAAAGGGCAGGAGGATGCCGAAGATTTAACAGGCATATTTAGGGAAATGTGGGAAATTTTTAGAGGTAACCATTGAATAAGTCTTCATTTATTTATGGATATACTTTTTGGCTGTTTTGAGCTGCGGTTGTGTTGGATTTTACACCCACATAATCTTTGTGATATAAAAACTGTAATATACCCAATGACCAGACCACTCAGTGCACCTTCCAAAGGCTTAAAAGAGAACATAGCCTGTTTTTATGTTTATAGTTCCTCTTGGGAAACAGAACTAAAGTGTACCAAAAGTTCAACAAGCACTTAGTAGAAAACACGACTTCTACATGGCAACACCTGCACTTTAATTCCCCCAGAGCTGCTAAACTGCTCGTTTTTGTATAAAGTCACTCAAGAGGAGTAAATAATAAAATTGGAAACTGAAAATGAATCCAAGTTTTCAATGTGCATCAGTGTGCAAACTATTACTATGGCTTTTGAGGTAGGACCACAAAACAGAAAAATGAATAATGGTAATCCAGCCTACAGACTAAGTGGGACTAAGAACATTTTTGTTTTTGTTTTTTCCAGATTTTTGAGATAAACTGCAGTTTATGATATTGTGCCGCCAGGCTTTGATGGTGATATGCAAGAATAGCACGCATGCTGGTGTCTTTATAAAGTGAATTAGTGACGAATCAGCCTCATGTATGAATCATACATCAATAATAGCCTAATTTTATGCATGATCCATGACTCTGCGGGTGCAGAAAAATAGAAATACATTGCAAAAAAATCATATTGTCAATATGCCATGTTCCCCTAAACTACCCTGTATTTCATATTATGAACAGGAGGTAGCTGCTCACAGACATGGATTAACTGAATGCTTTTATATTTTAATGGTTATTTTGTTGTGGTATTTAATACTTCAAAAAGGATTTAAATGAAAGGATTTTTTTTCACTCAAATGTCAATTTGGAAATACTACGATTACTACAGCTAGAATGTTAGACTGGTGTTTATAAATTATGCATGACTGTGTTGTAAGATAAAAGGATCAAACCTGCAGTGTAAGTTTGTACAACTGTTATAAAACCAGAGACAGAGGAGTCAGTGGTTGTAGCTGCTCCAGTTAAAGTAGTAAGTGCTTTTTTCTTTCTTTTCTATGTGCTATTAAAAGTCTGTGCTTGTAATTCTGCTGGAGTAATTTCTCTTTTTTACCACTGCCTTTCACACCCAATGACCCAAGGGGAAACACTGAGAAAATGTGCACAAAATAACTCCAGTTTTAGTGAACTTTAACTCAAGTCATTTTCAAAACAAGTCTCACTATGAGTATTCATGAGGGGCCAGTTGCAGATCACTGCTGTGTGGGTGGCTCAGCCCACTCCTACCATGACGATTAGGCCGTGAGCAGTCATACAAATTTAAAATGTAATAACCAGGCAAGCATCCTGACATGCAAGCAGCACCAGCAGCATGTTGATCGATGTTAATGGTCCTCATAACACTGAGGTTACGGCATTCACAGAGCAGCGTCTGATCGTCAGGGCCAGCTCGGTGATGGCGGTGAGGTTACTGTGAATGAAAGCTTCCGCTGCTGAGCACGTGGATAGCGATGGATGCTGATCAGCAGGTGTTTACGATGCCTATAACATGCAGGGGGGCTCAGACACCTACTTATTGCCTGTCGTAGGCCGTTACATGGTTGATTGTCAAGGATCCGCACGGTGCTATATTTCTCCCTTTTATGTTCTCTCTAATCTGCTGCAGATCTGTTTCCTACCTCTGATTTATGAGTGAAAGCTGCTCCCCGTGGTGCTGCAAGAGGGGGACCTTGACAAGGGAATCTGACTGGCTTTTTGTCCTTTCCATAATTAGAGAGTAGTATCCAATTCACCCTGTTCATTACCCCTGGGCCTAGAGACAAATGATGAGGAGGCCTGCTTTAATGCAGGCTCACTGGCTGTCCCGTTCGGGGTGAATAAGCAACAGTGCATACAAGAGGATGGGAGATGGGAGATGTATTCATGAGGTATCATATTACACAAAATGTAAGTGGGAATTTCTTTTTTACTTCACACATCCCTCTCAGAAATTATCTGCATGTTTCGCCAGAGGACTGAAAACAAGGCCACAATGACTGAGTGTTTAAGCACAGTGGTAGACAAATTAATCCGGTACAAAGAACTGTACGTGTCTCTGTAATGTTATGATTAACTATCCCTGGCCTTCATACATAGCCAGCTTTGTGAGGAGGTTAAGGCTTTCTGGACGTAAAGACTAGAAGGACCTTGAATGTGTTCTAAACCTCCCTATTATGCAGGGAAAGAGAACTGGCCTGTCATTTTGGACATTGTGACTGCCTCCTTTTATGATGTGATTGTCGATATAAGCTGAGACAAGGTAAGGTTTCTGTAAAAAGGACCAATGTGGAGGATTTAGAGACATATATTGCATTGCAGATTTCAACCAACTTCCTACGACAATAGTGTTTGAACTCCCCCTGTCCTACAAGCTCCTAGTGGGGAAAGCAAATAGGACAATAATGGCAGCTTGTAGT